TCTTTTTTCTCTCTCTCTCTCTCTCTCTCACTGTCTGTGTCTTTCACTGGTCAAAAAATAAATAAATAAAAAGAATGAGGGGACCAGCCAGCAGGTGGCGTGGTAGTTAAGTCGCTGGACACGCCCACACGGTCGACCAGGGTTGGAGTCCTGGACCTGGTGCCTTGCCTTCTCACTTTCCCTCTCTGTGTTTCTTTCTGGTCAAATGAAAATAAATACATGAGTAAATAAATAATTTAAAATACATTTAAATAAATAAATAAAGTAAAAGGCACAGATTAATAAAATTAAATAAATAATTCAACAGTTTCAACAGTGATAATAAGTAAGAAATTAAAAACAAACCAACAAACCATAACAACTGAGGCCCAGAGAGGGATAGGAAGATGCTCAGGTCACACAGCAAAGCGGAATGGAAGGCCCCTGGCCACCTGGCCTCCCACGCTGCCCCCGGGTACCTGACACCTGGCGGGTGTCCTCCTCGCGACAGCGCACGACGTACTCTGTCAGGACTCCGGGACAGGCGCTCAGGGGGGACGGCGTCCAGGCCACCGACACGGAGTCCGAGCTGTGATTCTTCACGGAGACCGGGTGGACAGTCCCGGCCGCCGAGGCTGCAACACCAGCCCAAGCCCGTGTCACCACGGAGCCCACGTCCTGCCATCCCATCCCCAGAACCGGGTGCCATGTTAACTGCAGAGTCAGGCGCGCCTGGGTTCGAATCCGGACTCCGCCACTCGGTTGCCGACACCTCTCCTCTCTCTGCCTCATTTTTATTTTATTTTATTTATTTATTTTTGGATTGCCAGAGGGTGCATGCCACACCGCAATCCCTTCTCCTCCACTCTCCTCTTGGGATCTTGGGCACGCACGCACACGCACCAAGCATGAGTTTAAGCTCGGGTCCGGGACTCGAACCGTAGTCGACTACATGGGAGTTCAGCGACATAGCCATTACGCTGCTAGTCCCCTCATTCTTCTTCTTCCTATTTTTTTTTTTTTTTTAAATTTGACCATAGAGAGAGAAAGCCACCAGGTCCAGGACTCGAACCATGGTCGGCCATGTGGGAGTGTCCAGCGCCTTAACCACCACGCCCCCTGCTGGTCCCAGTCATGCTGTAATCCTTCTTCATCTTTTCATCCTGTTCGGACATGCATATACATGGGCCTGGCATGCTTTTCTCCTTTTATTTTTTAAAGAATTATTTATTTATTTAACTCCATTTCTTATTGTTTTTGAATTTTACCGGATAGATACAGAAAGAGAGAGAGTAAGAAAAAGTGAGAAAGCCAGTTGCCGGGTCCGGGACTTGAACTGCAGTCAGCAATGTGGGAATTGGTGCCTCTGTCCACCCTGCCACATACCAATCCTTTATTTTTTTTTTCTTAGCATTATTTTATTTAACTTTATTTATTTATTTATCTTTATTTGACCAGAGAGGGACAGAGAGAGAGAGCGAGAAAGGATAAAAAGAGAGAGAGAGAGAGAAAGCAAGCTTCCAGGTCTGGGTCTCGAACCATAATTGGCCATGTGGAAGTCCAGCACCTTCAACCAGCACGCCCCCTGCTGGCCCCTCTGCCTTTCTTTTGTAAGCATGCCGCATGCCCGAGAGAGAAAGAGAGACAGAGACAGTGAGAGGGAAAATGGAAAATCACCCTCCTAGGGGGGATGGCCATGCCCGAATCCCTTCTCCATTCTCCTCCCAAGATCTTGGGCATGAAAGCACATGCGCCTGGTGTGATTTTCCTTTTCTTTTTCTTTTTTTAAATTAATGAATTATTTATTTCATTTCATTTATTTTTAATTTGACCAGAGAGAGACATACAGAGAGAGAGAAGGAAAGTGAGAGAAAGCAAGCCACCAGCTTCGGGACGTGAACTGTGGTCAGCCATGGGGGAGTGTCCAACAACTCAACCACCAGG